CAGAGAAGGAATGATTGAGAGCTGGTTAGATTTTAATGGGAGAGAGGAAGACAAGGGACTGCATGGAGCTGTTATAATGAGATGGTAGAGTGTATGTGGTAGGCTGAGACTGCAGAAGGAAAACTCTTCTGGCATGAAATTTGGAAAGTGGAAGTACAGAGAATGACCACAGACTCATCTAGGAGTTGTCTATGGCTTTTCAGCAGCTAATTTGGAGCATGATAGCCAATGACAACAAAGACAGGGAACTGACTATGTAAGAAAACGCTGCCTAGTAGCTCATTTTATTGTGTTGGAGTTGGCAGGAGCCCAAAACTGGTAGTGCTGTAAGACACAATGAAATATGAAAAGTTCTGGCAAGCGCTGTAGATAAAACAACACTGAGGACAAGTGAGACCACAGGCCAGATTTACTGAATTTACTAGGTAGAAGGAAACAGCCAGACAACAGCAAGCAGGGAACCATCTTGATGAGGTACACTGGCAAATAGTATGACAAATAGTATGACACGTAGAAAGTGATTTTGAGTTCTCTGGGCAAGCAAATAGTTTTGAAAACATCAATTATTAGGAAAGCTAACTTAAGGAATTCATGAACAGGAAAGTATTTTGATTCCCAATGGTCTCTGGCACCTGGATGATTCTTGCATAACTTCACTCATTTAACAATTAGGTTTTTATCCTAAAACAGCCAACCTAGGTCCCTCTCTAGACAATGGAGAAAACAGATACCTTAAGGTACCTATTTGAGATTCAACCCATCTAAAATGATTCTTTCTAGGCAGTACGGATCACCCTCTGGACATGCGTATCACTCTTTGTCTCTAGTGGAAACCTAGTTACCGGCTTTCACCAAACACTTAACTGCTTCAAGCTGAGCAAGGTGAATTCTGTCCTAAATTTCTGACCCTTGTGAGACTGCAGTTCATGGTACAAGTTCTTCTGGCAGTCATGTTGGTATAAACATGTGTTGTTAAAGATAAAGAAGAATCCCTTAAAACAAGGTTTTCAAATCTGGAAGTAAAATGACAACGTTAACAAGTTGCTATAGGAAGCTCAGCTGTTCTTGAAAAAAATGTGCTTTTAGCCACGTAACATATCCCTCCTTAGAGGCATAAAGGAAGCACAGAAGTTAAGGATACACTTTTATTATGTAAACACACACACACATATATATGTGTATATATATAAACTGCTTAAAAAAGAAAGAAACACAAAATTAGGGAATAAATCCTCCTTTTTCAAGGAAGGAGTCTACAAGGGGAGTCCAAAGGATTCATACTAAACATTGTTGAACGGTCTTAGCAAGCAGCAAGACAAGATAGATGGTGAACAATGGTGAAGCTGAAGCAGCAGGAGGCATAGATTTTCTTAGTTTAGTACAGAACACCATGAACAAGATACAGAACCTGTTTACAACATGCCTGGGGAGCGTTATGACAGACAAAATAGAGAACAGAAAGGTGCAAAATGATTCACATTAAGAGGAACCGTTTTAGTGACTCACATGGTAAGAATCATGGAGGCACAGATATATCATGGTGGGTACGCCTGTTTATTAAAAAAACCTGCTCAATGAGCAGAGATAGACTGAAAAAAAGCAGAATGCTAGGCTGTATTGAGATAAGGACAGAAAATAATCCTGAAAACACTATAATGTTATTATGTAAATCAGTGATGCATCCTCACTGTGATCATGGCATTCAGTTCTGATCACAAAATCTCAAAGAGATCATTGTGGAAACTGAAATGGTTGAGAGATGGGCCATAAAAATTGTTAGCGACACAGAAAAACTTGTTTATGAACAGAAATAAAAAAGACAAGGAATATAACAGGACTATGAACAGTTATCTTTAGAAAGCTATTACAAATTCTAGGAGAATTCTCAGGGTGTGTATCAGTGGTACTGTTTAGATTAGCAAAATTTTGGAAAACTGTAAAAGCACTGAAGCGTAACTACTGAATATAAAGAGGAACAATCCCTACTGAGGGTAGTTTAAAGAGCATAAATCAGAAGCTTCTATTTATCCTCTAAAACTAGAGCAATAGGGTTACAATGGATTGCTTGCGTACCTTAAGAAGTAACCTATTTACAACAGAGAAAAAGAAGCAGTGCTTTACACTACACATAAGTAAGCTATGAACTCATTTCCATGAGGGGACATTGAGGTTTTAGTCTGTCAAGTACGGAAAAGTTGTATGAATAAATAACTCATGTAGCCTACCCAAGTAAAGCTGACTAAAGACAATATCTGAGGCATCTAAGTCTTCAGGCTTCGGGCAAAAAGTAAGCACAAACAGATTACTTAGCAACTGAATTAGACTTCACAGGTTCAATTACTGTGAGTCGGCCAGCAAGCAGGAGCTTAGTATCATCGCTTGCAATCATCTGCTCTTTTCTCTTTCCCCTGTAGTATTTAGTTTCTAAGACAACGACAAGTTGGAAGTTTAAGCTAAGATTATCTATAACTGGAACATTTTACTACATTATTCATTTCCTCGTTTATTTCTCTGTGACATTCTCAAACTTTTCCGAAACTTGTCTTGTACTTTTTTTAGTTTCTGCAGCTTCTTTCATCAAGTTACAAGACACCAGCGACACCATGTTCAAAAATATTTTGAATTCCTACTGAGCCCTCTGAGTTTGAGCACTCAGTTCTCCTGAAAACGAGGTTTTGAACTTAGGACTAAATAGGCTATCATTAGCCAAACACAAGAGTGTGGGTCGTTACCCAGGCAGTAAAATAAATTCAGGACCTCCTTATATAATGTATAACTCCATCTTCTTTTCAAATTATATGGCAATCACTGTTGCATTATCTCATTTGCTTTTTAGTGTTCATTGGCATTATTTCTCTGAAGGATCTGGCTCTCATGCTTCAATTCTGCTCCCGCTGAAATCAACGGCAAAATTTCCTCTGACGTTAGTAGGGGCCTTCAGTAAAAGCAGAAGAGCCAGTAGAGGGAGCACAAATACACAGAAATAATTTTCTGAAGCTCCTATAAAAATGATAATGTATAGTATTTTTTTCATATTATATTTGTATTGCATGTTTTTCCCCTGATCAAGAGTACTTTCTAGATGGCGTTCCAACAGATGAAGGTAAGGACGGTCTGTGTTGGTAGCCCTTTCTGCAACTGCCCGGACATCAGCAATCTGACTGCATGAGAAGCCCAGGCTAGACTCTGCAGGACTGACCTCAGGAAAACAATGTTTTCTAATCACACAGCACTGCTCAGTATACCAGGACAGCTCTTTTCCTAAGGACGATATGGGGCACATCTTTGACTTTTGCACGTGACCAGAGTTCTGCTTACCCGCAATCTGTGCAAGTTGGTAATCTGTTCTGTGTACAGCACCTGAGCACTCAGATTGGGTGAACCACTACAATACAGCATGATATGGCTAAATGATGGCTTTCCAACTTGAACTCCTGCTGTCCTTCAGCAAGCTGCACCCTTCAGGAACAGTTTGTCCCTTTATGTGAACGCAGTGCCACTAGCAGTGCAGAGAAAGGTTGCGTCTCTGACCCCTTTCTGCCCACTAATTTTACTGGCAGCTACTGCCTGGAAGAGGTTGCTTTGCTGCAGGACTCAGGAGGGACCATAGCTGTGTTGCTCTGCAGGTAAGAAGGTCTCAGAGAATAATACAGGACCTCTGTTCTCCTCTTAGCTCTAAATTTCATGGGTTTCAAATGGCATCTCAGGACTGTGATGGTTTTTGAGAGCCTTCCTGCATAAAGGAGGAAAAGTTCTAATCTCTTCAGGGGACTGACTTAAAAGAAACCAAAAAAACCCACATGTAAATTGCTGAATTTCTTAGTCCATAGTCAGGCTTTCCAGCATTGGAAAACACACAGCCTGCCCTCCATGCATCCCTCTTTGTTTAAAAGTACATACGTGCAACAATTGCAAAAGCACTTGCCAGTAGTATAAGTCTGCTCCTATTAAAGAAAATAGAGGTAGATAAATGGCAAGTGCTTTGGAAAATGCCTCTGCTAAATACCATAGCGGATAGGATGGCAAAAAGAGAATGTAACCATTCGGATGTGAAATATCTTCAACACAAACAAACAAAAAATTTCACCTTAGAGATCCGCTGGCTCTCTACATCTAAAACCGAAAAAAAACTTTGGTTTGGGAGTTCATGTGGCCCTGGGATTCACCCAAACCCATAAAGGCTGCTAACTAGGATTGGAGGTGTTGGCAGGACTAGCAAGTAAGTACTACCAGCAATAGGAATGATAAGCAGAACATTTAAATGAGTGACGCTTTTGTAAGTGCTATTTTGGCAATCACATTTGTTGTCTTTTCCACCCTCAATTTCCTCTCTTTCAGAGAAAAAAGGTGGCATTGCAATTCTTCACTCTACAGATGTAGACAAAATTAACTAATTTGACTTCAGAATACTATAAAAAGAACTACAGAAATCCCTTCAGACCTCAGTGAAATTGCTGCACCATCCTGAAGTTTGCGAACTGCCTTGTGCTTCCACTCAATAATAACTTGTCTAAAAATTTGTTGTTTGTGCAAATATGCACAAACACTTCTATTTTTTCCAGTGAAGAAGGCTAATAGTTTCATATGTATTTGTTTTCTTCACACATTCCAAAACATTTCAAAACCCAGTCTACTGGGTGATCATTAACTGAGGAACTGAACTTTATGGGCCAGATGGGTCTCTCCTGTCTCACACTTCTACCTCAGAGACAGAAGTAAAGAGAAAATTTCTCAGCTGGCCCTATATACCTTTAAAAGAAAAGAAAAAAAACCCAACTGGATAACCCTGAATATATAAATTCTTTATCTGACTTATATTATATTATAATTACATATATAATATGCATTTTTATACTATATATAACAGAATTGACCTTTTGTTAAAGGAAACAGAAGAATTAAGTGAAAGTTTCCAGAAAGGCCGTGAGAGTCGGTGAGGAGTAGAGTATGATTCTCCTGTACATTTGCTTTTATAACCATTCAGACTACAGACACTTTACCTGTTGGCCTGGTTTGAGTGGGGATAGTGTTATTCCCTGGGTGTTGATCACTGGGAGTATCTGGTTGCCGATGACAGTAGCAATGATCTGACCCTGGGCGTTGGTCAGTAACTGTGGAGTAATTGGCTGCACTTGAAGGCCCTGAGCTCCACCTGCCGCCTGGTTGGAGGGGACTGGATTAGGCATCAGTGGGATTGTTCCTATAATCTAGAGAAAACAACAAAGTGAAACACAAATATTTGCCACGTGTAATTACTTGTTTCATGCATGCCAAATCAAACAAGTGAAATATGTGCAGAGAGACAGGTACAACAGGCTGATGGGGGAAACCAAACCTTTCCTTTACCGTGATGATTAGGCTTTCAAACCCATTTGGCAAGTCACATACCTACCACCTGCACATCTTAGCATTGGCCACTGTCACCCCCAACAACTCCCCTGTGACTAAGAGTGTATGAAACAAAGTCCTGGGCCACCCTCTGGCCCCTGGGTGATGCTTTGTTCCCACCTTTCATCTGTAGATAGGATTAACGTGAGTGAAATACTGCAAATGTCTGCCCCGTTTGTCTTGCTTTCTACAATTCATCCCTACAAAGTTATTGACTGTGAACTCATGTGCCTATGTAATTTTCATTGATTTACTGTTACCTAGCACTTTAGCTGACCACCTATTACTCCATGTGATCTCAGCAAGGAACAGAGATACTGGTGCCTTTCAGGATATGGCTCCTAAAGACATGTTCATAAAAATGTGATTTCTTTGGATGACAATTAAGTACTGCAACACAAAATGGGAGAGTTGGCATTAGATAACACATTTTAGCTAACATTTCTGGGGCAAATACTCCCAGAAAGTGACATTTCTGATTTTTGAGAATACAGTGATTTCCTAAAGTGTGAACATTCCTGTATAAAACTAATACCAGGATAAGATATCAAACACATACTGTAAGAAAGTTCACTCAATGAATCAGTGGCTAGGCTGAAGAAAGTTACTCTGTTGGAAGGCTCTTCTTACAAGTATTAGAGCATCTGAAACAAACTTCTGATGAAACTTGTGAATAAAATCAAACTTCTTTTTCAAATGACAATGACAAAGACTGCAAGAGCTGGGCCTGTTCAGCCTGGAGGAGAGAAGATTGGGAGGCGATCTCATCAATGTGTACAAGTATCGGAAGGGGGAGTGTCAAGAGGATGAGGCCAGCCTCTTCTCCGTGGTGCCCAGCAACAGGACAAGAGGCAACGGGCAGAAACTGAAGCACAGGAAGTTCCATCTGAACCTGAGGAAAAACGTCTTCACTGTGAGGGTGACAGAGCATTGGAACAGGTTGCCCAGAGAGGTAGTGGAGTCTCCTTCCCTGGAGATATTCAAAACCCGTCTGGATGCGATCCTGGGAAATATGCTCTAGGTGACCCTGCTTGACCAGGGAGGTTGGACTAGATGATCTCCAGAGGTCCCTTCCAACCGAAACGATTCTGTGATTCTGTGATTCTGTGATTCTGTGAATGGAGATGCAATCATAGGAGATCTGTTTTGTGTTCTTTCATCTTTCCTGTTGTAACAATCCCTTTTTACTCACTGTGTCTTCTCCGCTTTTCTCTATCACAATAGCCTGAGAAAACATCTATCCCATTGTAAAACTTCCCGTTTTCCCTCTCCAGAGCCCTTAGTTCCTTTTCTTTATCCTCAACATCCACCGCTCTGCAATGTCCTTAACTTCCACCCATGCCTCTTAAGGCCCCCATTAGTATGCTCCCAGTTCCCCCATGTACCTTATCACATAGTTTGACTTATCTAGACTTATTTCGTTGCTGAGAAAGAGGATGGAGTACGGCTGAGTTCCCTCTCTTTTTCCTCAGCAGGGATATTAACAGGGTAGCTGTTCTCGATCCATCTGCTGATTCTCATTCAATTTAGGAACTTAATATCATTTTAGATCTCTTTATTTCTGATAAATTTCATTGAAATTGGCCAATTGGTTCAAAGTCATTAGGTATGGTACGGAGAGATGGATGGATGGATGGAAAGAGAGAGAGATGGGAAACGGCACTATTCATGAGATGCATTTCCTCAGCAAATCAGGCTAAAGTGTTTTTAATGAAACTTGAAGGAAAATCTGTCTCCAAAACAAATACATACAATTCCTATTGATTTCAGCTATTAATTTAGATTATATCAATGGGAGACGCACAATACAATGTAAAATTAGCTCTGAAATAACTGCTTGGTGAAAACACCAGTGGCCGTGTGGGCAGGCCACTGGATTTTTTTCTGAGATCATAAAACTAGACGAACAACTTTGAATCTCTTGCTCAAGATAAAAAAGAAAAAAATACGCATATGAACTGTGCTGTTAAGAATAATAGGTATCTGCCAAGACCTCTGCTTATTTAAATCCTGGGAGGTGATACACAATAACCCCAGCAAATCCATCCTTAATAAACTATCATGCAGAGATATCAGACTAATGCAGTCAGGCATACCTGGAGGGGCATGAGCCTCTTTTCAGAGATCGCCCTCCTCCTTACCGTTATTAGGCTACGATAGATCTCAATCAAGTGACAGTGTCCTAACGAGTTACTGCTCCTTCAGCAGTCACAGCCTGCCTGCTGGCCTCCAGGTAGGCTCAATGGTGAAGTACAATGTGATAACTTAAATCAACTTCTCACACTAAAAGAGTGCACTCAGCTATGGCAGCTCAGCTAACAAGTGGTAACTCCTGAAATCACCATCCCTTTACCAAGCTCACCCAGTCAGTACAAGTCTGGATGGGAAGACCAGAGGGCCATAAAGAAAATCAGGACAACTCTCCTATGCGAAGGCTTGGCAAAACGGCAATCCCACCTATTAAGCTGTATTATAAGAGCTGCATATTTCAAAAGCATTCAAAACACTGTAGAGATATTACTTAATTTCTCCTTAATACATTCTTCAAAGGTAGACAGATTCTTTAAAGATTATTACCCCTTTTTTTGACAGAGCATGAAACTGAAACAGAAAGGAGCACTGTCAGACATAGGTCATATTTGGAAAGTTATCCTTCTAAGCTGGAATCACCTCTGAGTTTGTTTCTGCAGGTCACAGTACCTTTAGGCTTTTTTAAGGTGTCCCTAGCTGAACTGCAGCTGTTTTACAGCTCATGTGACAAGACGGCTGTTCACTCATGACGGAGGCACTCATTGGGATCGTTATTAGATTTCAGAATGTTTTCTGAATTCCAACTTTCAGCACGAATTAAATGCAACTTGCCTGTGGTCCAACATGTAAATTTCTCCTAGTGCTCGTCGCCTGAAATATTTATTGGTCACAAATATATTCTTTCACTTTTAATGTATGTCACCAAACAAACGGAATAATCCTTCTTAACTTTATCAGCAGAAATGTAGCAAAGGGCTCTCCTTGCTTTACCATGTCAGTAAAGGACGCGACCTTGTAGTGTCATTACTAGGCCTATAACTTTAACTATCGAGGTCCTAATCCCAGCAAAGCAAAAAATGCTGTGCTGGTGTTATCAGTAATAGAAATGTTTGCATCCACATTTAAAATGCATTTCTTGGACTGCATTTGGACATTTTATAGAATGACAGTGCTGAAGTGGACAGTTTGTAAGGTCAGAAGCAGAAGGCTATCTATATGTATTAATGTGTGTCACATACCATTCTGTACATGGTTTGCAGTACACGCACACAGCCAGAACTGGAGCAGGGATAGCATACAGCTAAAAAAAGGGAGTCCAGAAGGACAAATGCACAAATGCTCTAAGGAATTCAGTGCTACCATAGGAGCCAAGAGTAAATCTGAATGGGAAATAGTTTTCCCACTCTGCAAAACTTATCAAGATTTCAAGGGTGTTTTCCATTTTATACCGAAATGAGGCAAACTCTTTTCTGGTAAAAAATAAGAAAGCCACCTGTCCCTGGTTAATAAACAGGGCTACTTCTTAGGGCATACACCTTTGATATTCCTAAACCTAGATTCACGTTCCCATACCTGTCACCAAACACCTGAACAGCTGGACTAGAAGGGTTCTCTGATTCAAAACGCTCAACTTTGTATGAATAAGTAAATTATTCTCTGGGCAGGAAGCCTGAATCTGGATGCTCCACTCAAAGGCCTTGTGAGCGTCCTGATTTGGGCCCACATCACTCTTTCTCTGATTTGGTGAGAAATTCCACTGTGGGCCTTGTTAATCTGTCCTATCAAAGTGTCCTAAAAACTGGCACCTCATGAAGACAATTTATGGTTTTAACACATGCAGATTTCTGAAGAAATAAAACATGACCGTGCCGCAGACTTGAAGCATCGGCCTTTGACGGTTCAGTCTATTTAATTGCCAGCAAGTTCCCTTGTGTGGTGGTACTGGTCCTTTCCAACTGGTGCTGTTTCAGATAATATTCAAGCACAGCTCAGGAAGAGCGCGTGACAAGGACTTATCCCATAAACACTCTGGAAGAGGCCACTCTCTTTTGGGAGAAAGAGAATTGAGGTATGTAACTATAATCCCTAGCATGTCACTTGGCTTCAAAGCCAGAAAACAGCGTGTTGTTTGTTTTATTTTGGTGGAATATAGAGCTAGCACAAGAGACTTTTTACTCTGTCAAAGTTTGGTCTAAAATTTCTAAACAATTCCACCATTCTTGAGACAACAAACATATCCCTAAAATTCCTCATGCTACAAAAATATAATTAAAAAGGAGGTTGTTTTAAAGCCATATGTGTGTTTCACTATTCCTTTTATACCTCATACAACTTAAAGCAAGTGCTAAGTATTCACAGTAGAGTTGCAGAACAGATGCTAGACATGAAATAACAGATAGTTTTGAAAGTGCAAGGGTTAACCCAAGGGTTAACCCCTTTGAACGCTCCCCGAACCTTTGACAGAGCCGGGCACATTAATCTGCAGAGTACTGTTGATTAAAATAAACTACACCTGCTTGTATCTGGGTGAAGTGCAGGTCCCAGATATAGGCATAAAATGTAGTACAAATGTAAAATCAGGACTCCAAGTCCTCAAGGACTCCACTTTCTTAGGGAACTAGAGCTTTGGGCCTCCTCTGCTTAAAACACCAAGACTGTAATCCTGGCCCTGTTCAAGTGACAGAGAATACTGCCAGAAGACTTGGCAGAGTCAGATTTCCACCTCAAATATTTAGTATGATTGTTTTATTTTTGCTCATAGATTAAAAGATACATCAATTGCACCTTT